ATGTAATAATTCTTCTGCAAACATATAAACAGGACAAAAAAGTTGGTCTGATGTTGCTCGTCCAAGCGTTCTGTTGGCTAAAAGGTAACAAAGGCGTATTTAAACATTTTCGCTATGTAGAGTAATATCACCTTAGGGATTATACGGTCTTCATAGTAATGTTGAGCCTATAGAACCCACATACAGACAGAAGCAGTTATATTCTCTAACAGAATAAAAAAAAAAAATTTCTGATGGTTCTGATAAGTATCAGTCTTATTTATTTGTTTTGTTTAAATGTTTACAGTTAAATCATTGTTTTCAGATCATCGATGATAATTTTCACGGTGTTGGCTTAGTCTGTTATCTGCTTTGGTTGAAGTTTGATACAGAACTCGTTTTTTATCGTTGTTCGTGTATGTTAGCCGACCTACTAAATGCAGTGAACCAGCTAGAAAGGTTTTACACATATTAAATAGAATCCCTTTCTATATTTGCGTATCTGCTCTGTGCGGGTGGCTGGGTAACTAACCGTGCCTTCATGACCGACTACTTTTGGATGATAATAATATGTATACGCATTGAGGTAAGCCGTGTGTTTTCGGCGATGTCCGAAGGGTTATAGCCTGCTGATAGCGTTTTTCGGATCCGTTGATACGAGCTGTGAAGTTCCATTGTTTAGTATAGCTTTCGGAAGCAGTTTTGAGCTCTCCTTTCGAAAATGAGCGGTTAACTCGCTTGTGTATCTAGCCGCTAACAAAACAAGCGTTTCATCTTTGTATAATACAATGAATGCTGTATATATATATATATATATATATTTCTAAGAAGAAACGAGGAATACTGCTGAAACTATTTCATAGAAACTGAATGAAGAAAGTATGATACTACTCCATTTGACAACTTAATGTCTCAGAATATCTTTTGTTAGGATTTCCTGTCAATAAAAACCTTTATTATAAGACGAAAAGTCTTCTAATGGGCTAAAGTTGCTAACGCTGGTAGCCCTTATAGCTCTCTAGCTTGCCTTCTCTTTGACCTATCTCCTAGATGTTGAAAACTTTCCGTGTCATAAAATGGCCGCTATATGCTTATCTGTTTTCACATAAAGTATCAGAATGTAGGAGCTTTTTTTGAGAAGACGCACTTAAGAAAAATTATAAAACGATTCATTTGTATGCGTTCGATTCGTGCAGAATTTGGTGCTCGGCATTTCAAAAGTTTTCGGATATATCCTAGCACGTCGCGTATTTTACGTTACTATCTACAAAATGTTAACACCAGAGGCAGTCGATGGTGATTCAAAATAATAGGATAGTTCCATAATTTTAAACATAATTGTAATATCTAATGTACATAATGTAAGCGTTCATAAAGTGTAATAGTTAAACCAGTTACATGTCTGAACGACTTGGTGTTTTACTTAAATTTAATTAAAAATTAATATTAAGCTAACTCTTGTCCAGAGAATTCGTAATCATACACTACGGCCTCTCCTCTTTTAGATTCCGCCGATTATGCTGCAGTTAGCTTGATCATTGATTTAGTACAGCGCTTGTCTTTTTAGCCGGGTCAGTTCTGGCCGCTAGGCCCCCTTGTTACCCGCGCTTGCTATTTGACGTTTGACATAGTTTGCTGGAGACGAAATGCTTAAATGTTTCAAGGTTTCCCACCGACACCGCTGTTAGACACTCAATGAGACGGCTGCTTTTCAGAGCGAAACGAAGCATGTGCCTACGCCCAGATTCGGATTTCGACCACCACGAGGCCCTCAAATAAGCAGGCCACGTTACTATTACGGGAGTGTAAACAAAACACATGTCCTTCAACAACAAGCGAACTAACTTTATAGAAACTCGAAAGGCTGTCCAGCGATTGAAAGCCGGTAGTAGGGTCGATAATATCGACAATGATAAACGCAACATGTGATATCTAACGGCCCAGTAAAAGTCATCAATCAAGAATATTTTCCGTCAGCTCCTCGTTTCCAGGTTCGCCTCCTGACACGACCTATCACGAGTTAGACTAGTACTTTCTTAGTCTTTCGTTTATTTTGGAAGAAGTGTGTTCTTAGTAGCCTTATTGTCGTTCGCATTGCTTCGCATGTATAATATACGTCTAATCTGATCACAAGGAAGAGGAAATAAAGCTAATATAATCTTCATAGATGCACCCACTGCGCTATGTGGACGTTACAGTTAGAACAGGCTGGCAAAAACGCACGCTGCGCCACTATAGCCCAGTTAATTCATCTGGCGAGGCTCATCGATAATTGCTGATGACGCGTTATTACCGCTAACTGGGTTTAGCATTATCTGTTAGTGCAATCGTGATGGTTGCAGCAGCGATTGTTGAACAGCTGTGACAGCAGTTATCGTTTGGACAAGACTTTTGTCGTGTGCTTTTCTGCACTTAGCGTCTTGCCCAGCAGGGACCTACCGAAAAATGGGAAGATGTTAGGCTACAACAACGCACGAATAAAGTATAAGGCCATTGCTGCTAAGACGCCTATTGCGTATCTTGGAAGCAAACAGCGATACGCCAGTCGAGTCATGTACTAGCGTAAAGTCCAACGCCCAATTGCCCAGTCGCCGCTGTTCTTATGCATGCCCTAAATTCATTCAGGACACCCGTCAGGTGCTAAGTGAAAACAATTTCAAGTCGCCGTCGTTCAACATTACTGCTGCCCCATCGGCGACTTCTGTCTCAAAGAGCATGGAGTAACTGCCATGTTGTATTGTTGCCCCTTTTTGTTTGCACTTAAAGTATACAGTTTATACGCATTTATCGAATCATCAAGAACTGCTGAGTGGTCTTACAAGTATTATTAATCATTGCATGAACCTAATATATCGTGTCGGATAGTGGATCTTTGTAGATCATGTCTACATTTGTATCTGTAAATGTATTGTAACCGGAACAAAAGTTACCTTTTTGAAGCTGACTTATCCGGTTTCGAGTTGTCTGAAGAGAAAACAACGAAGCTGCTACAAGCTCCAGGTTAAAAAACCTGCCATTTCCAATCTTAGGTAGTACTGTTGGCGTAACTGTTCACCCATTCGCGGACGTCCACCGGAAAAAAGTCCAATCCGCGCTACGTTTACCATGCCCATTATATCAAGACATTAAGGCTGTCTACTTACTTTTCCTGTTTTCTTTTGCTTTATCGAAACGGCACATTTCTTGCTTTGGTGTGTAAGGTTTAGACAGTTCCGCTTCCCTCCCAGTTAATTCCATACAATTATTTGAGAGGATTTCAATAGAATTTTTGAGGGATAAAGAGTACTGAATAGATACTAGTTGACCGCTGATTTAATTGGAACTAGCTGGAGGATAACCCGTCGTACAGCGTCTAGGGGGCGCCCGATGGCGTTGGGAGAGGGTAGTCGCGATACTCGCCTTGAGGAGAGACGGCCGATTTTATTCTCGGGCGGGTCGCTAAATCGAGTCTGCACATGCTGAACGTTGGCTATCTAACATCAACGGCATGAAATCAGGGTTCGTTCATTGGTAATGGCAGACACACAAAAACTAGGCCTTGGTCCGGAAGCCAAGCTAGACACCTCCACCTGATCGCGAAGCGTGTAGTTGTGCTGATGGTGAATAGTGGCAAAGATGATGCCGTTTGTAAAAAGTGCGCTGAAATACAACTGTCGGAAGACAACTGAGACGTGTCACTAATCAACGTGCTGTCCCGTTTTCCTGCCAGAGCGAGAGAAAACGAGGAAAAAAGAACAAGTCCTTCTTCAGTTTTTTTCTCGCTTGAGTCAAATCAAATTGTGTGGAATACCAGGATCAGAAATTCAAGTCAGATTCAGTTCAATGAATAGTGTAAGCCCGGAGCACTATCCCTCTGCAAGGAGCTCAAAGTGTCAGAAAAGTTCCGCTTCAATCTCAAAAAAGACAAACGAAAGGCAGAAAAATAGCAGAAAACAAAGTTGTCACTTGTCATGAAAATATTTTACCGCTGTATAAGCTTAAGTAGCTTTAAGTGAGCGTCGTTCCTGTGCCCAGCTCCATGTTGGCGGGAAACGCTATCCCGTGTTCAACGCATCATTTTGCTTACCGTGTTGTTACATGTAATCACAGTGAATAAGTTTATAACAAGAAGGAGATACAGAATATCCAGCTGCATATGTTTCACGTTAGGAAAACGAAATAACAAACACACAAGCTACGGGAACTATAATAAGGTGTTTAATCGACTAAATCAACGTTCCCTAGCCTATACAGGTAAGAATTACTATTCATAAATCCTAACAAGAAACCTTATGATAGCGCACCAACGCGAGCATATATTTGAGGGTGTAGCGTACGACTATAATACATATATGGCATTCGGTGTCGGATCACTGAAACCAAATCAATCTGTCAGGCGGATCAGACAAACCCGCCTCCAATATTCTTTCGGGAGAGTTCCTGTCTCGCTATACACCAACGACTATACACCCAATTCTACAGCCCAAAAAGTAGGCTCTTATTTCAATGAATTCAAAATTAATTCTACCCATTTGAAAGGAGTCAAATGAAAGCGATATATTAGACGAGTTAATCCATTTTTGTCTAATAATGGAGCGTTGCCGATGTCTTTAGATGCAAACTGAGTGCGACGCAAACTATCCGCTTGTTGTTTTTTGACCAGCTTGCAATAGGTAGGATTATTTAGGACAACTGCTTTTTATTTGCGCATTCTAAATAATTAACGTTCGTTTATTCGCAGGATAGAAGCAGACACACGGTTTTGTCTGTACGAGAATTACGTATCTCAAAAAGCGAATCGAGAACAAGCTGCACGATGTAAAAGTTACACAAGTGGTGAATTTTATTATATGACCACCCTGGAGGTAATGTGACCCACTGGGTTTCGGACATATATGACGCCAAATAGCCAATTTGAAAATAAAATAATAAGAACCTAATTTACTTTAGGGTTAGCCCAGTAGCAATATATATGGGTGTACACTTTCTAAAACTAAACGAAGACAGCGCGTTTGCGATACGAAATTTCAATAGCGTTCTACGTGTGATTTCTTTTGGAAAAAGAGTTTGCCGATTCCGTTGGCTTACTGCACTGCTTAGATTAAACAATATCGTCAATACACAAATTGCGTCCTGGGTCATGATTAACCATGGGCATCTCTTTATACCGCAATCATCGATGACGAAGGTCGTTACATTGACTGAAATCGGCTGAAGTTAGCTGGAACAGATTTCGATTCACAAATGTGCTAGTACCTAGTTGAATCACCATCACAATGAAACTTTATGTAGACCTATAATAGGCAGACCATAACATTTAATTTAGCTCGTTGAACAGCAAACCATGATAGAGCACCATATAAGAATAAATTTTGCTTAAAAGATAATCGTTCTCCATTTAGCTTTATTGAATGCCGGACTAAAGAAGAATCATCTAAACTGTAGCACTATAAGCCGAAGATAAATGAGCGATGGTGGACGTCAAATTCAAAATTTTGTGTTATAAGCCTTTGTATGTCGCGAGATAAAACAGTCTTTGAACAATTTTTTCAAACATAAAACAATTTTTTCCTTTTTGGCCTATGTAGCCCCAGCATCCCATTATAGTCCACACGGAAGTATAAGACTTTGTCCAGAAAAGACTACTGATTGATTACATTGGCAGTTAGGTGACTATAGGTCCACGGTTATGCAGTGCCAAAAATGTTTTTGGTGCAGCGGCACGCTCCGTGCTGCTCATCATTCGCTCGATATTGCTTGCCAAGTTTGTGTCTAATAAAGATGTGCGGTGGGAAACTGTTACCGCCCCCAAAATACGTGGAAATGACATTATTATGACCGTGAGGCCAAGTGAGAGACCTCTCTAATAAATATTGCCTACAGTATGCAGTCTCAGTTTACTCTCTTTATTCGATTGCTAACTGTGTCATCGCAATGGGCTTTCTCTTACCGATCATACGGAACCTGAACCTTCACGCTTCATATGTACATATAGACGTAAAAGAATCACGACTGTTTGGTATATGGCGTGCTCATGATTAGAAGTGAGATTAGATCGAAATATGTCGAGATGTGGCGATTAAAGTCTTAATAATAATTTTTTAATTTTATCAACTGAATTTTATGATATTAGATGAAGTACAATTTGCTGAAAAATATTGTCTCTGTGTTTATGTTGTGTGACACAAAAAAAGGCAAATATTTGTGTAAAATAGTTTGTCTGAAGCTATTTGGCAGGCTAAAAAACGTCACTAATAAACCAGGTAAAACAATGATACGTTTGCTTGTACACTGGAATTAGCGTTCCAGGAGCCGCTCACCAACTCTCGACTTTTCATTTTGATTATTGACCGCCTGTTTGGGAGAACCGATGCCATGCTGCATTATGGCGCCTATCACTCTCTTGAACAGGTGAAATCAAAACGCGTAGATCTATAGAATATAGAATAAATGGCTAGTGCTGGTACTCGATTCTATTCTTCTCACTTCAAATCGTCACTGAAATATAGTGATGAAGCCGTACGTTATCTTCAAGCAACCATACTGCGTACCTCCATCTTGTGAGGAGCCCAATTTTTGCCCCTATTTTCAATGTTTTCTTAACGTAATGATTTTACACAATCGGATTAACATTCCAAGCATCCCTTAGTTATCCCTTACAAGAATATATAAGGAGCACAGTATTCATGCTCTATTTCGTTCAGAAGCTCGTTCTTCTGCTTGAGCTGGTATAATCACTCGTATCAATGTGATCTCTCAAGGAACTTGCAACAAAGACGCTCTAGTAGCATCCTTAGGATTTGTATAGTACTATGCTATAGTAATATACTGCGTTAGTCTAAAATGAGCTAGCTATAGGATGAGCTGAATGTCTGTATTCTATTTCAATATCTTCAATTGCATTTGAAAATTAGCAAAAGCTCTGAGACAGCTTTGTGGTTTGCGATGACGGAACGGTACGGTTTATTATATTAGGTAGCCTTACTCGCACATAATGTGAAGTCAGGGAACGGATCACAATATGGCTGTAATACGGAGCAGAATGCCTGCCGATCCAACGAGCTCAACACGATGTTGTATATTATAAGTCGGCTGATTGACGAGCATTTTGCGACTCATTTTGAATCTGTGGGGCTATTCCGTTGGGCCATGGGAAAAGGAAATGGGCCATGGGCAAGGAAAGTGTAAATCAAGGAGCACCGAAGCTAAACCATAGCCCGAAACGCCGCATTCATGAAGGGATTGATGAAACCGAAACCAAATTATGCGGAATCTGATCGAAAACTTCGTCGACGGATTAAGTTGCACAGCCGTCCCTGGGGCACCTTTGACCGAGGCCGTTTTCCGTCTGTAGGGCAAATTCGATGCCTTAGGCTAAGCTAAAGTGAGAACAAATGTACGCACAGAAGCTCGCTTTCGTTTTCTACCCCAGGGGCATGGAAATAGAATGCTTCTAACGCGCCCTATACAACAATGGCTACTGTGGTCATTAAAGTGGTTTTAGTGCCTGATGTCTTTAACTGAATCGCTAGCAGCTCTATAAAAATGTCATGTAACTTATTTATGGTTTAGTATGATAAAATAGGGATAAAGATGGTATTAGGGTGCTCCTGTTTAATCGATGTGAAATAAGAATTCTATCCAAAGACCTCACCTTGTATATGTATATGCTTTTGCTTTCTGAGTTCATACATAAGAACGATATAGAACGTATATAGAAAACGACTCAACTGTAAACCAAATATGAGCGCCTATAGTGCTGAATTTACTACGAAAAGCATTGTACCACAATTGAGCTACGTGATTTGAAATTTTTCTAATGTTTAGTTTCTATACTAATAACTCTTTTCGGCGTAAATACATTCAATACGCTTTGAATATGACTTTTCAAGAGTGTCCTGATATGCTTGCGTTTATTGTACAGGTTGGTCGAGTCAACTGGCATTAAATAAATAGCGTTTGTAGGGTAGCACTACGTCCATCGCATGCGTACCCCCATTCTACCGCTTACCATCCGCTATACACACGAGTGATCTACATTTGTCTGATATCGTATTAATTGTACCACGATTGTTGTTGGAAATCCGTATGTTGTTATCTTCGATTAGCATATCCATAATAAGAAGAAAAATTAACGCTAGTTAATAAAAATGAAGACAAATTAATCCTGTTTAAAAACATCGCGTTTTTACCTGTTCACAAATTGTAGCAAACAGATAGTAGTAGATATACAAGCTCATATCTCTGGTGCGGAAGATACCCGATTGCGTCGATTTGAAGTGGAGAGAAGGTAACGAAGCAGTCTTACTGTATCTTCAGCGCAGAGCTCTGAATGCTAAGTGTTATGAGCCTTACAGACGTTTGTAAGTAAGCTGAGTTTTAGTATGTTCGTATGCAGCCCCTTGCACCTGAATACGGAAATCTGCTACATTGAAGACACCAAACGTTTATTTGACTACAAGGACAATGGCTTTTCAAAAATAATCAAGCTTTGTACCTGGAATATTTCAATTTGGGTTGCTGTGCGCATAGGTGCTAGGAGAGCCTATAGTGGTAAGGCTTAAAAACGCTGAAAGATTAAGGATCAATCGGAAAGCTGTTTATTAGCGTGCAAAGTGTTTTTCCTATTCGCTGCATACATAGCAAAACAAGCCTGTTGGAACAGTTCTATCTACCTGGAAATCATATCATCGCATAAACTCGTTTAATTAGACCATACTCATTCAATTACCTTCTAGTGTTGAAATTGCATCGGCGGATACGTTGCATTAGTCCATACGGCTTTGTGAACAGGCTTTTAGAAAGTTCTTTGTGCATCTAGACATTTTTTTCGGCCCGTTAGTTTTTTTTTCTGATTAGCTAATGTCCATCAGTGGAATCAGGACAATGGAGCTAGCGTTACAAACACTTCAGTTTCCAAAATTTTCATCTTTATAATTAACTTGTGTTTTTATTGTTTTTCTCTAAGCGGTGCATTACATATAAGTACACTGAATTTGAAAAACGTGTAGTCTTATAAAAGCTATCAATTGGCACGGTACCCATGCAGGATTCCGCTTAAAAGAATAAGTAGTTTTTGGATATTTGGCATATCGGAGGGACACAGCGATGATATGCATTTACATCCAAGCCTAAAAAACATTATTTAGCTACTTTTATGTCTTCCTGACGGCACAGTGGTAGCAATAAATGTAGTAATAATTTTTTCGATGTACAACGCATTGTCTACGGTGCTATAAGGGGTCAATGAAGAT